CTGTAGGCCAGAACATGGCACCTGACCAGCCAGGCTGGTGTCCTTTCTGGAATGGCAGGCATTTCATGTGAGGGTTTGAGACATTTTTAATACATGGAATGTATAGTTATGACCCCTACATGGATCTTAATGTATTTTCTACTATTAAAATCTTCAATTATGGAAGTTTAAGTATTTCTTAAAAAAACCCAAACAAACAAACAAAAAACGTTAGCAGCTCTAGATACTTGAGATCCATAGGATTATCTATTGAGTTCCTGTGACATACTTGTGGCCTTAATCTCTTGCCAAAAATTCCTACTGTTTTATTGTTTGTTTGTGAAAATGCACATCTTCTAGCACTTCTGAGTGTCTAACCTTGTCTTGTTGAATACTCTCACCTTTTGTTACGAGACCAGGAAAATGGACATCCCCAGTCTGCAGTCTAGTGTTAGCCTGTGTCTCAGACTGTGGCCTGCAGTCATGCCCTCTGAGGGACCTGCATTTGCAGTCTGTAGCATAGCAGAACCAACCCCATTTGGTTCTCTAGATCCTTACTTCTCTCGTCTTGCTGAATCCTGTAGTTCTGCGTGGCCTTGCGTTGAGTTGGTGCGGGTTGAGATGCCAGTCAGGGCTTGAAAGAGAAATTTCTTGGTGCGTGGCGGGTTGTTCTCGCGCACCACCCAGAAGCAGCTCACCGCCTGCCCGCGCTGCGTGCTGGGGCTGTAGGCCGAGGTGTGTGCCCTGGGTGCGCAGGGATGTGCTCCTCACCGCCGTGCTGAGGTGGGGATAGGTAGGAGTTTCTCTGTTGAGGCGAAGGCATCGCTGGTTTATGTGAGATGCTCAGTTTTGGAGTGGGGGGGATTACTAGGAGGGTGAGATTTCTGAAAGATTCTTGTTTGACATGGAAAAGTCCTTTGGAAGGGTGAAATCTCAAGGCCCTTTTTTTTTTTTTTTTGTGACCTACAGTCTTATCCAAAGAGTTGTAGAAAGCCTGGTGAGAGCTCGCTTTGCAGCACCATGTTGCTGGTAGTTGATACCCCTAGGTGCCATGTCCTTCCCGAGGAAGGGATGCAGATTTTATCGCTCTTCAGTACTCTAAAGTTAACAAAGAACCTTTTTATTTTTAAACAAAAAAATACTCCCTTTGGCTTTTTTTTTTTTGATGTAGCAGCTGGTTTTGATCCATGGTGGTATGTTCTTGTCAGCAGTTCAGGCACGTGAGAAGCTCTGCTCTCCCACCTGATTTACTCCTTTTTCAGTGATGGGGTTTGTCCCCATGTCTGGTTGTGGGCTTGGTACGGCAGAGCTTCAGCCTTGCCCCTGGAAAAGGGTATGTCGGGATGGAGCCCTCCTCTCCCCCCGGTGTTGTTGGTGCTGAAGACTGACACGGTGTCAGCTATTCCAGTTAGGTCTGCAGAACTTGTCCAGCTATTCCAGCAGTTCCAGCTGCTGCTTCTACTGATCAGCCAGGTCCTTGGCTTCCAGGTTTCTGATACACTTGGACTTGTTGATTTCACTAAGGAAGTATTTCTAAACTGTGGATTTCTGTTTGACTTGCTCTTTTAAATATTATCATTATCACTACAATGATTGCTTTCCTGTTCCCTTTTTTGTTTGGAAATCTATACAACTTTCCAACTTTGTGGTATGTTTCATGCAGATCTACCTGGATTGCTACAGCTTTCTAGCTAACTTCATGGCACTTCTTCCCTCTCCTTTCATTGTATTTTTAATACCACTGATAAGTCAGTATTGTGTTAAGCTGTTGAAATGAGACTCGTTGGTTATCAGAGGCTCACTACTGTCCTGTGCGGCATGAGCTCGTGTGTGTTATTTCAGGCTACATCAAAAATAGCCTGTTGCTTCTTGTGTGTTCTTGGGCTGTTCCAAGAAGCTATCACTTGCAAATACTGAGAGGTGGTTTAACTGAACTGTGTTGCTGTTTTGCTTTTGGCCACTTAAAATATAGGACACCCTTTTTACCTCCAGTATCTATTTTTGCAGACTAAACTTTATTTTTAAACCTCAGGTAACCTGCAATCAAAAAATATTGTGCATGCAGGAACTTTTGATCATTTTTTTTTTAAAGACTTTCTGTGCGTAACTTGGTGTACTGCTTTTCTGTTCAAATAAATACATGACTTATGACTACTTAGAATTTCATCATTATTTTTATATGCTTTTATTATACTTGATTAGTACAAATATAAACAAAGAATACTTGATTTACAAAGAGGTTTATCAGTACTTCTCAGTGTAAGCTGAGCACCTTAGAAATATTTGCAGTCAACAGTAAAGGAGATTTTGAAGCTTGCTTTCAAGCCAAGAGAAATTTTGCACACATTTTGCAACTCTTATGATACATTCATGCAACTTTGTCAGCTGCTAAGTTATTAACCACCTGTGATCAAATCCTGACTCTCCCTTATCTCTTGTAACAGCTAATGTTTCTGGCACTTCAACAAGGATGTTGGTGTTTCGCTTGTCAGTGGTGATCAAGCTTTTCTTCCAGTTGGATGCATCTCTTTGTCCTGACAAATGCGACTGCTCTTCAAAAAATGCAATTCATTGCTCTGGTCCCCACATAAAAGACCTGGAATCTTTAAATCTGCCTTGCAACATGACAAAAATCCACATAACAGACACTAGTGTAACATACTTGCAGGATGTTTTTTCGAGAATGGTGGAACTGCAGCATCTCATCTTGTCTTCAAACAACATCTCTCTAATTTCACCAATGGCTTTTAAAGGCTTGAGAAGGCTAAAAGCCCTCAAGCTGCTAGATAATAAGCTGGTCAAGCTTCCCCCAGAAGTGTTTGATGACATGGTACAGCTTCGGCAACTGATCATTGAAAATAACAGGTTGAAATCCATCGAAGATAGTCTGTTTGACAAACTAGCTAGTTTGGAGGAGCTTTTCTTGAACAAAAACCAACTAACAGCACTTCCTAGTGGCGTGCTGAAGAAACTGGCCAAACTCAAAGTACTAAACTTGTCAAGAAATTGTTTGGCCACACTGCCCAGAAATATATTTAGTGCATTAACCAGGCTTGAGAAGCTGATGCTGTATTTTAACAGGCTGTCTTCAATAGAGACTGGTATGTTTGATAGCCTGAAGGAGCTGCTGGAACTCTTCCTGCATTCCAATAACATCCAGTCTATTGCCCCTGATGCATTTCATTGTCTTCATAAACTGAGAAGCCTAACGCTCTCCAGAAACAAGCTTGAGGTTTTGCCTCCTGGGCTCTTTCTGCACTTGCATGACTTGTCCAAACTGACCTTGTACAGGAACCCACTGAAGTCTCTTCCAGAAGTATTGTTTGGAGAAATGAGGCATCTTGGTAGCCTGTGGCTGTATCACACAAAGCTCTCAACAATACCAGATTTTGTGTTCAGTAACTTGACAAATTTAGAGCTTCTTGTGCTGAGTTTTAATCCAGAGCTTAGTGTTCTTCCTAGGAATGCATTCAGTGGTCTGAGTGAACTGCGGGGTCTTTCTCTGCATACAAATAATGTTTCCAGTCTGCCAGAGGGCATCTTCCTGAGCCTTCAGAAACTGCAGAACATTTCCCTTTTTGATTCAAGGCTTGAGGCTCTTCCTAGAAACCTCCTTCATAATCTCAAGCACCTTCAGAAAGTTTACCTCAATCATACTAAGCTGCAGTCTCTTCCTGGAGATTTCTTTACTGCTTTACCTGAGCTGCAAGAAGTCTTCCTTGACGACAACCCTTGGAAATGTGATTGCCAAATTCTTGGCTTCCAAGAGTGGCTCCAAAAGAGCACGGAGATAGTTAAAAATGTGCCATCTCTACTGTGTGACAGCCCGCTGGCATTACAGAATATTTCTCTTGTGGCCCTAACAGATGATCACCTGAAGTGCCTACCAACCACAGCCGTTACATACCAGATGTTCAGCTCAACTTATTCCCAGGCTTCAACTTCTCTTGTGACAGAGCACTTGACATCATCTTGGGAGACTAGTGTAACAGTGGTGTCTGACATGGATACCAGCACACCCGCATCAATTCCTCCAGGTTTCATCTCCTCACGTGTTCAAGCTGTTGGATGGCCCAGGTTTCATTTCTCAGATGTTCCAACCCAAGCTTCTCCCAGCATTGTAGTAGAAACTAACAGTGTCAGAGGAACAGATTTAACTACTCTTGCCTGGTGGGATGAGCTGCCAGCCCGCAGAAGTGCTAAGCCCTATTTTAATACCAGGATTGCTTATTGTCAGCTATTCTTGTGCCTTCACAGTTTGATTTTAGCACTCCAGACTGTAACCATTGTGCTCAGTCTGTATGTGATGGGTAAAACCAGGCAGCTCTTGCACTCCAGAAATATTCCTACTCAGCCTGTAGTTCTAATAAAATTTTTAAGAAGACAGACAATACCAGCCAAAGAGGATTAGAAGCACTGTTTTGGATGCCTTTCAAGCATTTGGGCAGTTCACACTTGATTCAGATATGGATTACAAATCTTCATAGCAACAGCCACAAAGGCCTTGTTTTTACAGCACAATGAAAATGCTCTTTTATGTGCCTTACGGTGATTGTAATCGCTGTATGTTGCTACAGCACTTGGTGCGTGAACCCAGAGGGAGAGCTGAAAGAAGATCTGTGGTCACCTCTGCGCGTGTGCTACTGGTTTCCTGCTTTGGACTGCAGCCCTTGTCCCTGCCAGCCACCGCTGCCTGCTGCCGTGCTCACGCTGCTCAGGTGGAAGTGGCATCGATGTTGGGAAGTCGCCACAGGGACACGGCTTTAACTGTGCTTTAAGGTTGCCTGTAGTATTCCAAATGCTATTATGCCTTATACTGCCTGCAGTGTTTTGTTTCCTTATTGGGAAAAGAAATAGTATTTTTGAGAAGAGGTGCTGGAAAAGACCTTTTAAAAATGGAGGTGAGGGCAGAATCATTTGGTGCAAGTGTCTTAGTTTTTGCTTTCTGTCCTCAGCCCCTTTCCAGGACATGGCAGGAGGAAGGGGTACTGCTTAAAGCTAACAGTGCTTTCCTCTGGCTTAACCAGAGTGAGGTAAGAAAGATGCTGGGCTAAGAAGTGTAATCTTGATGCATTTTGTTGTTTTGGGTTTTTTTGAAAGTTTGTAACATTACTACGAATCTAAATTTTAAGTAAACACTGTCATCCTTAAATTTTGACCAGTGGTCTGAGAAGCAAGGCATTACTCGCTGCGTGATGCACTGAGTCTTGAAACCAGTACCAGGCAGATGCCCGGGACTGGGGCTTGGCTCCAGAGGAGTGTAGCTGGTTTCAGAGCTGGTCTTGACTGAGCTGGGAGGGAAGGGGTTGGTCTCTCCTGGGCTTGGCTAGCAAAACACAGGCATGCAGCAAAGTGGTAGGGAGCCTGCCTGGTCTGAGGGCCCTGAAGTCTGGCGACCTTTTTTGAAGTTGGCTGGGGGACATATGCATCTCCATCAAGCTGCAGTAAGCAGTAGCATATTCAGTCCTATTCAGTCTCAGACCTTGTCTTAATTCCATAGTATTACTCCCTGAGTTCCAGCCCTTTCAAGTGTTGATATGCAAAAACAAGTACAAGGCTAATGGTCTAGGTTTTGGTCTTCATACTGAAATGTCTTTTATTATTTTGAATGATAGGGAGTAAATAGCTTGTAAATAGACTGGTCGCTGTCAGACTTGCGTGTGCTTTGGTAGCTCTTGGATTTAACTATTAGCTCGTATCTTAATTATGTGACTTAGCTTGTTCTTAAAAGCTCTGACATTGTGCTCAAAAGCTAGGGCTGGATGAAAGAGCCTCTGGAGGTGGTTCCCTGGCCCAGTGGGGAGGAGACCGTTTTGTAGCCTTACTGACTTTCTAATTATTGAGGTCTTTCATGGGTGGCCTTGAAATGGCACTTTACAAGCTTGAGCTGAAGAGAGCTTCCATTTGCCGCAGGCGTGTGGCCTGTTCCCTGTTGTGTGCTACTCTAGGCAATGAGAATAAACTATGGACTGCTTTGCTTCAGAGTGCTCTGCTGCTGGACTTGAATTCCTGTTCTAGGCCGTGAAAAGAGGTAACGTGCTTCGATAGTGTTAAATAACCATCGTCTTGCTGGTGAGGTTTAGCAAGCCTGGCTAAATGGTAGGTAGAGCCATCTCTAAAGGAGGAGAAATGCGTGAAATGCGAGTCGCTACGGCTGGTGCAAAGCAAACCGGGACTGGATTCATAAACAGAAGCACCATAATATTCACTGCAATGTATTTAAGAGAAGCACAAAGCCAACACGAAGCTTTCTTGGTTGTTCTGGGTTGTTACATGCTAGTGTTTAAAAGGAGGCAGTTGTTACAAATTTAGGTTCTTGGTTGGGCAACTGTAATGACCACTTAGTGTTGTTCCAGCCCCGGCGCCGTCCTACCGGTGCCACGCAAGCATCTGCTCGCAGCAGGCAGGAGATAAGTATAATCTGGACTAACGAGGGAATTGTACAAACCACGCTGGTTATTGTTTGCCTCGGTGAGGCACTGAAGAAATGCGCTCGTGGCCGCGGGCCCTCGGACGCCCACTGTCCGATTTTGAAGAAGCAGCAACGGTTGGGTTGCCGCGTGGGTGTATCCCACCTGGGTGTCTGCCCTCTGGAAGAGCAGCAGCTGCCACCCGCCCGAGCCCTCCGCTGGCTGCCCAGCCCTGCTGCGGGGCCGGCTGGGCCTCCGCGCTGCTGCTTTGGCTCCCGCTCTGCAGTCGCTGAGCTCTTGGCACGTGGGGGCTTTGGCACATGGCTGCGCACAGTCGAGCGCTCAGAGGAGGATGATTCGTCTCTACATGCTGTCATCGGGCTTCCCCCATGCTTGAGCCAGACGGGGAAGTGAAGTCAGCAGACAACAAAAGGCAGGAGCAGTACGAGCCTGGGGTGTTTTACTCTGAGGTGTCCTGTTTTGAGCTGCCTCTGATTCATTGCTTGTTGCCCAGCAGAGCTCAGCCCTTCCTGCAAAACTCCCTGGCCTGGGAAATCCCAAGATAGGCTTGTTTATATCCCATCTCTGTTTCCCCTGGAGGAGGGACGGCCCTCGAGGTCAGCGTGACGGCGGCTGTAGCTGGCGGGGAAGCAGCAGGGAGGGTTCCTTGGGGAATGTGCAGCTGCACCTCGGACCCTCTCCCTGGGCAGCATTGCCTCGCTGGTGTCTCAAGGTGCCGATGGCTTGCCATCGCCGCTGTACTGGCAAGGCTTCTCCCAGTCCCTTTACGAACTACCGCCTGGCCTCTGCCACCCGGCTGGGCCGGGGACAGCGGGCTGGAAAAGGTTGGAGGTATCTAATCCCCGGTCCAGGAAGGGGTGGATTCAAAGCACGCCTGTGCTCGGCAGCTGAGGGGACCCGCTCCACACCCTGGGCTGCTGTGCGGGCCTGGGATGCGGCGTCATGGTTGGCAGCCCTGTATGTCAGCCAGACCTCCCGGTCCCAGGAGCCGCCTTCAGGAGCGCTTGGAGTGCGTCGCCAGTGCAGCCCAGCCACGGGTGTTCCGTGACTTGCTCGGTTCCCTCAAACGCTCGTTGCTGCGGCGGCTGCTCCTGCGCTCTCAGCTTTGGAGCAGTGGGAGCCTCCGAGCGCCATGCTGGGCCATGGGAGTACGCGGCGTGTTTCCAGCCTGACCTCACCACAGGTGCCGTTCTTTGGTTGTCGGGACTGGAGCGCACAGAGTCCCCTCCTAACAGCTTGAAGAGCATGGTGGCACGGGGCAAATTAACTGCTGTTCTGCCTGCTTCCCCGCTGCTGCAGGACCCTTCCAGGCCACTCGTGTGCTGGGCTCATGTCCCCAGCATCTCTGCCCTTTCTGTCTCACCTCTGCCATGTGAGGCCAGCAGCTGCTGGAGGGCCTTTGCCACTGCTTGCAGAGGGGAGGGAGCTCAGGTGGGCACCTACTAAATACAGCTCAGTCCTCCAGCGTGTAGCAGCAAGATCGGAGCCTGCACCTTGGATCCTCCCTCTCCCGGTGGCAAAGAGAAGCTGGGTGATGGCAGATGTGCTCAGAGGAGACACCCAGCAGCGCTCCGTGGTTCAGGAGCGTGTGTGACCGCTGGCTGCAAGGCGGGAGCTCTGGGATCCTCTGCCTGACGTTACGGAGCATTGGCCGCGTCTCCTCCAGGCCTCTGACCAGCACATCTCGCCTGGGGAAGCTGATTCAGCAGCCATGGTATCAGAGCACAGCATTTCCTAGGGATGACGGAATAGCGGGGAGGATATGCAGCCAAAGGCACCTGCGGGACAAGGCCGGGGTTGCGAGTGCTTACAGCCTCTCAAAGTGAGCAGGAGGCCTGAAGCTCCTGCTTTGCATCCAGAGATGGGCAAGCTGTGGAGGTGTTATGCCTCCATTTTCCTAGCCCGAGTCTGGCTTCACATCCCCTTGGCTCCTGGGTGTCCGTGGGCCCAAAAAAAACCTCTTGCCTGGGACGTGGGAGGTGCATCCCCCTTCATTGTGGGGTGGGGGGCTGCTGATCCAGGCTCGGCCCCTCTTGTGCAATCGCTGCTGTAGGACTGTCGTGTTTCTCCGCGATGTGCCAGGCTTCCAGCTGTGCCTTTGTGTGTCTCTAGATGAAAAGATGTCTCTAGATGAAAAGAAAAGCCCGGGGCAGGGAGCCAGCGACGGCTGGCAGCGGCTCCCCAGCCTGCTGTGCAGTTCTCTGTCGGATTCCCCTGGGTGCTGGGGGGAGATGGGGCCCCTTCCCCCTTGGGGTGTCAGGAAGGGGTCCCTGGGGCATGCCCTGGTGCCAGGGCTGGCTTTACAGAGATGGAGAATGGGGAGAAGCTGGTCCAGCAAACACCTTCCAGTGCATTAGCAGGGACAGCCCCCTGCCATTGCCTCCTGTTCCAGCTGGTCCTTCCCCCCTCTCACAGCGCCCATCGGACAAGCTCTTTCCGCTTCGGATTATCTCTGCAGGCGGATTTGGCCGCAAGCCCCACATTCCTTCCAGCCTAGCACTGCCCTGAGCCCACGCCAAGCCCTGCGTGCTGCTGCTATCGCGTGGGGCTCGGGCCAGGGTCGAGCCTGGAGGAGACGGTCCTGCTGGCGCTCAAGTTCCTAAATGCCATTTTCCTTGAGCTCCAAGAGGTTTTGTGGTGGGTCTCATGCTGGTGCTTGGATGGAGGTTAGCCTGATGGACATCCCTGCTGCCCACCCTGGAGGGACCAGGGCTGCTGCTCCTTCCCAAAGCTCCCACCCTGCATGTGTGCTTCCCCAGGGAAGGCAGGACCCATCCCCTGGGGCAGATGTAGATAAGGCAGCCCTGGCCCTGCGTACCTCGAGTGGAGAGTTGAAAATGCCATGGCGGCTGGATCGCTGGCCCTATGGAGGAGCTTTCTTACTTGGGCTCCTCAAAGGGTTGGGGGTGTGTGCAGTGGGGAAGGGGCTCTCTGATGAGTGGGAAGGGACCCAGCACCAGTACCCAAGTGACTTAATGTATCTTGCTTCACTCCTCAGCCATGGCTTGAGCCTACATGTCCAGCTGCATGGCTCAGGCCTGGAGGTGACCCCCACACGCTGGAGCACCAAGGGGACCCCTCCCCTGGCCCCGAGCCCAGCCCTCCACCCTCCTCCTCCGCTGCAGTAGA